TGGAACACCTCTCCTATGAAGAAAGGCTGAGAGAGTTGGGGTTGTTCAGCCTAGACAAGAGAAGGCTTTGGGGAGACCTTATTGCAGCCTATCAGCACTTAAAGGGGGGCTTATAAAAAAGATGGCAGCAAACTTTTTAGCAGGCCCTGTTGCGACAGAACAAGGGGGAATGGCATTAAACTAAAGGGGGGTAGATTTAGACTAGATATCAGGAAGAAATTTTTTATGCTGAGGGTGGTGAAGCACTGGCAGAGGTTGCCCAGAGAGGTGGTGGATGCCCCATCCCTGGAAACATTCAAGGTCAGGTTGGATGGGGCTCTGAGCAACCTGGTCTAGTTGAAGATGTCCCTGCTCATTGCAGGTGGGGTTGGACTAGATGACCTTTAGAGGTTCCTTCCAACCCAAACTATTCTGATTCTATGAATAGGGGGGAAGGATCCCCTCCCTCAACCTGCTTGCAACACTTCTAATGCAGCCCAGGATACCGTTAGCCTTTTTTGCAGCCAGGGCACATTGCTGGCTCATGTTCAACTTGGTGTCCACCAGGACACCCATGTTCTTTTATGCAAAGCTGCTTTCCAGCTGGGTGGCTCCCAGTACATACTGGTACCTGGGGTTGTTCCTCCCCAGGTGCAGGACTTTGCACTTCCCATTGTTGAACTTCATGAGGTTCATGTCAGCCCATTTCTTTGTCTTTTAATTGGATGAGGCTGATAACAGACTCCTTAGGCAGTATCAGCTATCATTACTTTCCAGGTATAGTATTTAAATCATTTTCCTAGAGAGCACTGACCATCACTCTGAAAATGAAAAAAATTAACAACCTAGCAAACTAATCACAATTACAGCAAAGATTTTATGGACTCTATTTTGTGAATTAAGGTAAAAGCCTAGTGCATAAAAACATTATTTCTCTACTTTATTTACCTCTTTAATAACATTAATAGAATCATGTTTCACATCACCGGTTGGCTGAGAATTTCTAGTTTTAGGTCAGTGATTATGTTCATATACTTTTAAAGTAAATTAACCACAGCAGGCCAAGAGAATTAGAACTGACATAAAAGGTCTTTCGAAATTACCAGTTTTAGAGATTATTATGCCTTTTTCTCCTGTCAAACAGACATAATTAATCAGCCAGAGAGCTTAGCTACTCTTGCTACTGACACCACTGTAATAGGCTGGTGTATATACATAGCACATTGCCCTGTTCAGTTCATTGATTTTTACAAACATTATTCCAACTAATATCAGGAGATTGTATTGTTATAACATTTCCAACTACAGGCATTTAGTATTTGCAAATATCTTAAGTAGCTGATTTTCTGTTAAGATGAAGACATTATTTTAGGTAACAATCGAAAATAAGGCTAAAGGACAAATAATGTGCCCATCACATTAGGGAAACACTAACACTTAGAATTTCCTAATCTCTCACCACAAACTTTAGCCATAAGATTAACATGAGAAAATAATTCATTCCTCCTCAGCACAAGTCTTTAAAGTATGAAATTAATTTCCAAAAATGACAATGATACAAGGATAGAACAATGATCAGAGGAATGGAACTTCCTCTATATGAGGAGAAATGTAAGATTAGGACTCTTCAGCTTGAAAACAATACTGTTGGAGAGAGGAAAAGGTGGCATTATAAACAAGAATAGCTAGAGAAGGTGAACAGGAACATCATAAAGATGAACAGGAACATAACAATGGAAGTACAGTGCATATTAAACTACTAGGCATCAGGCTTAAAACAGTAAAAAGGTGTATTCTTTGGATTAAGTGAATAATTAAAGGAATGAACTCTCAGCTGTAGTATGCAATTCATGACAAAGGTAGAGATCAATGCAAAAAAGCAGCTAGACAAACTCATGACTAAGAGGTGCCTCAAGGGCTTCAAAAGAGCCAGACACAATCTCAGGAAGTTTCTAAGCGGCTGGACCTGATTAGAACATACCCAAAGATCATTCAATCTTGGTCCAGTTTCTTGTATCTTTCCTGAAACAGCTCTTGGCAGCCAGTACCAGTGGACAAGAGTTTACACAGGTTTTCATTCTGAGGCAGCACAAACAACCCAGTGCTCACCCTGCTCAAATCAGTTTCTAACATCGCACTAGTAAGTGTATGCCAGCAAAATCTTGCTCCAAGGTTTTACTGTTGATATTGTACTGCTTCACTTTTGAATAATTAAACTGTTCAGCTGTTTAAATTTTCTATAAGGTAAGCCAGGCATGCACAGTATACTCTCTGAATGAATTTAGTATAACAAACAACCCGTTAAAGCCAGCCAAATTGATAGTATTTAAATTTTGGTGATGTTTTCAGGCTTGTTGCCTTTTTTCCACCTAGTGGTAAAAACATCACAAAACCAACCAAAAAATGGCTTTGATTTAAAAAAAAACACTTTTAATGGTAAAGAGGAAGAAATTAAGCAGCAAGAATTACATAAAAAATAAAAATACCTTTGTTTCTCTAGTTTCTTCAGATTGTCTTTCTTTGCTTCTAATCTTTGGAACCTGTAACTCTGAAATCTGGCTTTCCTGTGATGTATCATCCCTAATATTTAGGGTTCTCAGTTTAGCAGATTCTGTTTCTAGTATAACATCACAGCTATCTTCAAAGCTGAAATCAATAAAAGCACACAAAAACATTCTATTAGTGTATTTTAATGAAAAAGCCATTATTGTTTACAGATAGATCAAGTTGCACAGAAAAATTATGCAATTTTGACATTAAATAACTACATGAGTTTCAGAGAATCTGACAGGTTTTAGTGATGTTTGCAGGATATGAGCTTTAAAACAACTTTTGTACTTCTGCAATGCTGTTACATGAAGATGTTAAAATCTCATCTAAATATTCTAGACTAGACACTTTTTTAAAACAGACTTTACTAATATAAACATTGTATACAGAAGCTTTTTTTTCCTCCCTGACCTTCTGTAACAATCTATGTTGAGTTCAAAGACAAATACTGTTCCTTCATACGTCTCCAATGAGGTATTAAAGCACATAAAAGTTCTGGCAATTTATATGAAATAACAAACAATTACAATACAGCTAAATAAAACAATTAACATGCAATATTCTGAAGTAGCACTAACAGCTTCATAATGACTTTTTAGGTTTACCACTTTCTTGTATAACAAGTTTAATAAAACAAATATCCAGTTTCTTTCTAGTAAAAGAATGACCAAAATTGAAACTAAAAGCTTGCCTCCCACCTAGGTGCTGCACAAATAAAGTCCAAGCAACTTTCCTTTCCCACAAGAACCATCTTATTAAAAACAGATATAAATTCCAAGTGTATAGCAACACTACTTAGCAACATTACCAAGCAGTGTTTTGAGAGAAATATTAGGAGTTAGAATAAACCAATAGCCTTCATGAATACCCTAAAAAAAAAAGTGAAAGCAGTTTTGGATGGGATTTTAGTATTTATGTAAATTAACTTTGCAAGGGCAGCCCATCAGGGCAGAGAATATGAGAGCATAAATTAAAAACAAAAAATCTGTCCATTCTGTGCCAGTTAACGTGATGGTAAGCATTTGAATAAATAAAACCAATATTAAAAACTTTAAACTATTTTTTATTTTGCCTAAGCTTTCCATTGTAAACATTACCTGCATAAATTGACATCACTTTCTCTCTCCATTATGTCATCCACTGATAAACAGGACTCTGATCTCTCGTCCTCTGTAACAGCTGTTTCATCTTGTTTTCCTTCAATGACACTATCCAGTTCTTCTCTACAGGTAGTACGACCATCATTGTTTGCATCACATACCATTTTTTTTTCTGCTAATGAATAATAATTAAATCAATTTGAACATTCTGGGCAACATCTTAGAATTCCAATTCTCACATCCTAGCTACAGTGAAGCAAAAGTGAATTTAAAACAAAAAATCCCAGTAGAAAATGCCTAAGTATTAAGATTTAAGAGAACTATTCTCAGCAAAAATAAAATGCTTAGATTTACTATGAAACCTGATTTTGAAAGGCATTGTTCCACAACCTCCCAAGGCAGATCAGTGATACAAATCAAAACCCAAGTTCTCATTTTTAAGTTTACAGTGTCTTTATATAAAATTTATATTTGAACATTTGAAAGTGAGCATTTTTGCCTCTTACTTTTCTTAGAGGATTTCCCTTCTTCAGCAATTTTTGAAGGGACAGCCATTTCTTCTGGAAGATTCTCCACTTCCTGTTCAAGACCATCTTTTCTCTTCTTTCTCTTTTTTGCTAACGCTGGCTCTAATGCAACCTGTTCTTCTGCCTGTTCAGAAATGCCCAAAGATTCCTCATTTTCTTTCTCAGCCGTCACAGCATCTGCTTCTGTTTCTGCATCAGAAATTCTGGCTTCCTGAAGATCATCTTGATCATTAGCAGCTTCTGTGCTGGCAGCTTTTGCTGTTGAGACAATATAGTTCCTGGTCAATAGACTGGTGGAGTATTAGGAGCCATAAATTGCAAAGATATTTCCACTAGCAACACCTTCTGAATTCATACATCACTGCCAATATACTGCCAGGCCTATGAGCAGGACCATGAGAAGTCGGTCACTGACTTAACACAAAAGCTTCAGCATAGATTAACTTCAACTCTAAATGCAAAACACATTCCATCCACAGGACAACACTTCACCAGGGTAAAGTCAATATAGGATATAAAGCCAATTTAGTAAATGTTCTTGGTTCCTATACTTTTTAGCAGGTTACACAGTCACTTTTGGATGCAGGAAAAATAGGCACTGCTATTCCTGAAAAGAATTATCATATCCCTGCAGAAAGAGGTGATGATGGTTGCAGAAAGTATGCCATGAAAAAGTAATTTCAATCAACAGATGTACTGTAGTTATTCATTCTTATTTACATAAGAAAGCCGAACTATTATCTAGCTAATAATTCACAGGTTCTTTCCTGGGTTTGAGTTTCTAGAATTCTCCTCCCTCCCCTTTTCTGGACATTTTGTCTTGATCTTGTATTTATGCAGAACATCAACCACCAAGAACCTTTCCCTGTCCTTTTTATTATTCTTACATGAACTTGTTCCCCTGTAATTAAGAAATCCAAAATGCAAGAGAAGTAGAAAAGCATGCTCATACTGCTTTACACATAGTACCTTCAATCTACCATTAAAGTCTATGACCAGAATTTCTATATGTAGCTGTAAGTCCTAATAGGTGGGACATTTTACTTAATCAAATCTGAAATGAAGGCTACAGAAAAGCAGCAGCTATGTCAATTTTAAGAATTAAACAGCGATGTTGCTTCCTAGCTAGCATCCCCTTTAAAAAGGTTGTTCACTTGTCTGTTCCACAATACCACTTAGAAGTGGGTTCTTGTGGAACAAACAAGTGAACAACTCAACAGAATTAGCACGGAATTTTTGAAATGGTATCAGTATAACTGTTTTTAGCTCAAGCACATCTGTGAAAGGTCCTTTCACAGGTACTGAGGTAGTAAGACACTATATGGTGATCGATAGTGATTAAACATAATCTTTATCCTTTTACTTTGAACAGACCAGAAAACTAAAACAAGTTTTACAGGACTCCTTGAAAAGAGTCACACCCTTCAGACTTAGGGAGTCAAACTATAATTAAAGGTGAAACAGAACCCTTAAAAGAAAAGGGTTTAAAATAGAAGAAAAATTTAAATTAAAAGTCACAGAAGACCTTGCCAAAAATATGGGTTTGGCCCAAGGATTCTAAAAGTGAATTAGTTAGCAACTCATGGAGATACTTATCAACTGTTAAATTAGAATATCCTGTTTAGAATATCAGTGCTTCAGACTGTGGAAGAGCACTAATCTCAGTGTGGTCTCACATTCCTGCCCAGAGAAAACACACCTCAGGAAACTGGCTGCTACCAATTATTACCATCCTGCACATCAGTAAACTACATCTGAAAAAGTTACACTATGAAGCCAGGATCCTCTTGCCCTGTCTGCAACAGGGAAGGAAAAGATTCCCTACGTGATGTTTCCTCTGCTAGCAACACATTACTGACCACTGCTCTGTAATGATCTCTCAAGCATTCTTTTGAAGTACCTTTTGGCTTCTTCCGAGGCCTTGATGGCTTCTTTTCCTTTGGCTTCTGGCTTTTAACAGTCTTTTGCTTCCTCTTTTCCTCATCTGCTAAGACCTTCTCAAGCAGCTGGGCAAAGAATTCAAAATCAAAGGGCCGCTTTTCTTCTATCAGATTAAAGCAAAGAAATAGAAAAGATTTCAAAGTTGATAACTTTTCCAAGTTTCTGCTTTGTAAAATAATCAGTGGTACATGTTATGATATTAAAAAGTGAAGGTTATATAAATTTAAACAGAGAATTGTTTTTGAAAATACTTTCTGTATCACTTGAGCACGGACTAGAGTTGACATGTATGTGGATTATGGTAGCTTGGTTTTAAAAAACAAATAGTAAAAAGCTTACAGTACTTAGTAGTTTAGAAAATTTAAGAAGTGACAAATACATGAATTGTACCATAGTATCAAATAATGTATTAACATGCTGCTCTAGGACTTATGTAGCTCATTCAAATAACACACAAAGCTTTTAAGGATTCTCAAAGCAGTTTACAAAAGGTAACTGTGCTAGAAATTCCCATGAATCAGAAAAATATTCAACTGAATATATATGGGAAAGTTTATATTAATCTCATTTATCAGACATATAGAAAAGCCAGAAATTAAACCTAAAGATCTTTACTGTGAACCATGCTTTTTATAAAAACCTAAGATTCCCCAGCTTCTGAACTCACCTATGAGCAAAAACTTCTTATAATTAATTCAAGCAAGGCAAAGCACAAAAATTACCATGAAAAAAGATGCCTACCATTTAATGACTCATTGTAGGGTGGGGTACATTTACTTTACTTACTGAAAGCTTTGTCTATCCTCCATCCATTAGCTTTTTCCTCACGTTTGAACTTGTTCTAAAAGCAAAGGTATATTTGTCTTTTTCAGTAAGCAAGAAATGCAACAGAGTATTGTACAAAATGGCAGATCAAGATAAACCTTCAATGCAACAAAATCTTCTACCAACTAAAGTTGATTAAAACTTACAAGCACACTCACAGAACACGTTTGTAATTAATTTTTAAATATAAACCCTGTCACCAATAGATATCACCAGTCATAATTTTTTATTATTTTCAACATTTTTGTCCTTATTTCCAATCTATGCAAGGTTTGAAATATCAAAGATTTTCCCAGCTGGATACCACGAAAGAGGCAACACAGAAGACCCTCACCAAATATCCACTTATGCTTAGCAGCATTTTTCAATTAAAATAAAACCGAGACAAACTGTGTCTAGATATGCTAGATTTACGAGATAATTTGATTGGAATTCAACCCAGCACATTAATGTTTCAGATACTTACTACCTCTTGGAAACAGGTATTAAAAAAGCATTGCTACAGAGCCAGTTAGCATCAAAATTATCAATACTAATAGGAAGCATAGGAATAGCAAATGAGAAACAGAAAAGTGAAAACAGACGTTTAATTGCTTTATTGAGTGCTTTAATTTTTACCTTAATTTCTGCTCTTGCTCTATGAGGAAACAGCCGTCCAATCAAGGAGAAGTCTGTTCCTACCATACTGATAGCTAAAAAGAACATGTCTGTTTCTGGAGCGGAGCGGGGCGGGGTGGGGTGGGTGGGAGAGATAAACACACTTAAGTATTTAGTTAACCATTCTTCTTGCTAGAAAAAAAGAACATGTGTGGTTGGGGAGCGGAGCGGGGCGGGGTGGGGTGGGTGGGAGAGATAAACACACTTAAGTATTTAGTTAACCATTCTTCTTGCTATCTAAAATAAAAACACCTTTCAAACTTAATGCAATGAGATAGGTAACTTTAAGGTTATCTACTGCGGCTGCAAGTTCAGCTGGGCTGGAGTATGTGTGTTATTTTACTTAAGTACCTCTAATAACATCTGCTGAATGAACTATTAACAGAAAGAACTGTCTAATCTATTATAAACCTGCAGAATGTAAAATACGTTTTGTAAAGCTAGTAAATCAAAGCTAACCAACTCGAAATTGCCAATGTTCATTTTTATGAACACAACCACAAACAGAAATCAGAAAAAAGCATGTGTAAAAATACCATCTCCATTATTACTTGTTAACAGGAAAAGAGTGCATTCCAAAAGCAGCACAGTGAATTCTGAAGCTCATTTTTGCACCTACAGTTGTAAAAAAACATTTCCAATTGTGAAAAGTCTTGCGCAGTGTTGTCAGCCTAGAGATAATAATCAATTCACAGCAGGCATAATAAAAAAAACCAACCCACCCACTCATAAAAACACAGCTGTCCCCATACACTGAAATCAGCCCACACAGAGATGGCTTATAGAATTTATTCCTGCCCATAATGGAAGAACGAAATAAAGAAGCTGTTAAGAAGTGCTAACTGTTCCATATAGAGCTCAAATATTTAGCTCACCTTTTTTATAAGGTGTCCAAAGGACACCAGAATCCAAAATTATGCTTTTGATAAGGCAGACTAGCATTTCCACAGCATCTAAACGTCCATGACAAAAAATTCATAGGTAGCCTGCATATCATAAGGCACTGGATTTTTTAAACATGCCAATTTTCACAGTAGACATCAGAGCTCTGCTTGTTGTAAGAGTTTGGAGGGTTGAGACTACGTCACATGTAAGTAGATCCATTTACTTCACTGGAAATAAAAATTCTTGAGTACAAAGCATAGATGGAAAACAGATTCTTCTGCAGACTAAAAACTTGAAACCAAAAATATACTCACCTTTATTTGACCATGGTTTTGTGTAAAAACTTTTCCTGAAGCTGGAATATGTAGTTGTAGAGCCACGCTCAAAGATGGGATCATTTTCTTCTACAACACATGGACCTTTTGTTCTTAGAACTTCTACAGTTAAACTGGAAAAGCAAACACACAAAGAGAGTCATCTGAAAATATTGCTAACAAGACACATAAATGTTTATAAGCCAGCTACTCAGTTTTTTCCTGCCATAAGTCAGAGTTTGTACTGTAATCAGGTGTAATAATTACATTAACATATATTTTAATGGGAGAATGCAGCAAGAAATCATTAACCTATTCAGCTTGTGCAAGTAAATTTGCTTTTCCCTTTTTATAAGGTACAGTACAGACAGACATAATTAAATACCTAAAAAAAAAGACTGTCTTTTTAACATTCAAGAAAATTATTTTGCAAAACCACAAGAGCCTCTCCATATTTTTTTACAATACTTTCAAATTCCTTTACCAGGACTGCTCTGGCCTTACACCTTGGCCTAAACCTCATGCTAATAATATGTCTGGGGAACTGAACAATTTGGTAATCTAATACTTTTAAAAAAAATCATATTCTAAGCAAAGTTACCGAAAACAGGCAGCTGAATAAAGCAGCAACATGCAAGATGCAAAGCTGGAGCAAATCATACTGACAATTGAATAACAGTAAGCAGACACATGCAACTGTGAGAAACAAAGAAGTTCACTAAACAGAAGACATTTGGAAGTTGGACAAATATTCAGCATTCATTCACTGTAACAAAATACATCATCTTCCTCTCTATCTGCTTCTCCAAAAACATTTCTCAAAGAAAATTTGCCACTACTGAGACGCACATAACTGCTGCTTATACTTTGCCATATATTTGCGCTGTTTCCTAAGTTAGGATAGCTCAACTCTCAACACATAAATACACTTACGTTTGTCCCTGTCCAAAGTAACTGTTCTCTATTCACAAACTAAGCAGCAATGTAGTATATATTGTCCTTGAGTCAGGCACAGAATTTGTTACCTTTCTTCGTCCAGAATAATTGAACCATCTTCTGCTACTTTCACACGAGGAACTAGAAGTGGACCGTCCTGACTCTCCTCCCCATTCTCTGCTTCTTCCTCCTCATCTTCCTCTTCATGGTCAGGGGAACTTTTCTCTTCCTGTCTACAATTTTAAGAGACCAAGCAAAAAATAATACTTTTGTTAGTGTTTTGAATTGCTGCTCCATATGCCAGACATTTGACAATTTAATGAACCACCCAGAAATGCAACCCACCAGCAAGTTAGTCAATACATAAACTCTGTAATCTGCTTTTCATTCTATCGTAAAATGGACAAATCCAAAAACATAATATTGAAAGCAAAATGCTCTTTAACCACCCTCCCCTCCCAAATTACAATTTGTTATAAATAAGGGCTGACATCGAATTCTGCTACTTTCACACGAGGAACTAGAAGTGGACCGTCCTGACTCTCCTCCCCATTCTCTGCTTCTTCCTCCTCATCTTCCTCTTCATGGTCAGGGGAACTTTTCTCTTCCTGTCTACAATTTTAAGAGACCAAGCAAAAAATAATACTTTTGTTAGTGTTTTGAATTGCTGCTCCATATGCCAGACATTTGACAATTTAATGAACCACCCAGAAATGCAACCCACCAGCAAGTTAGTCAATACATAAACTCTGTAATCTGCTTTTCATTCTATCGTAAAATGGACAAATCCAAAAACATAATATTGAAAGCAAAATGCTCTTTAACCACCCTCCCCTCCCAAATTACAATTTGTTATAAATAAGGGCTGTGACATCGAAACAGTAAAAAAAAAAACTTACACTGTTAGTATTACCACAGAAACATGTTTTTTTCCAACATCAGAAAACTTTGACTACAAGTACTTCCATCACCAAGACTTACTCTTTCATTTGACCCAGCGCAGAATTTTTTTCTGTTCTCTTTTCTTCTGCCAGTGAAGACCTAGAATTTTATAAAAAGCTAGAGATGAACGTTTGTACAGACACATTTCTGCTTCATTCCACAAAAACTGGTTTTAGTGGATAACGGACAAAGAAACACAAAGCTTTTTTTCAATTCTTTGTACCACATCTAGACTTAAGTCTAACTGAACAACCACCACTGCTTATACAAAAAAATGCAAAATTCATTAAGCAAGGACAAAAAAAAAAGATATTTCAAGCAGTAATCCATTGTAAGGGTACAGGGAATGTGAGAGCGTCTGGTTCATTACCTGCTTAAGGACTACTCAGTGTGAAAGAAAAAATAACAAGGAAAGTGATAAATAAAACACACAAGCACACAAACATTAACAAGCAGGTGATAACAGACAATAACAGAAAACTCATCTGCTACTGAGAGGAAGAACAGGACTTGTATAGCTGTACTTATGTTTATGTGATTGGTTTTGGTAGTTGCAGGAAAAAGGCCCTGCTCTGCCTGTGGTAGTCTGTGCAGCCAGCTGTGTTAGTGTTCCCTGTGTATGTGCACCTCTGGGATGCTCACTCAGCCTTGCTACTGGCAAAACCTGTAAAGGGAACAGTAGCAGCTACATCCATCCAGCTGGAATGGAGAGACCTCCTGGGTCTTGCAGTGCGTTTTGCACTTCAGCACCTAGGAAGGAGAAATGCTTAGCTTCCTGTAGTCCACCAGATTTGGCAGGCAGTCATAACATCCTTAGCAGCCATAACTAAAAAATTTAACAGCAGCAAGTTAAAAAAAAAAAAAAAGAGACTTTCTGTTATTCTGCATTTGTACAGATACAAATCAACACTAGGGACAGGTTCATGTTTTTGTATTTCAACAAGTACACTAATCTCCATTCTCATTTCCATATGAAGACTGAGTAGATGTGAAAATGTCTAGAAGCTTTTGTTACCATTCCAACAATACTGTATCTGTGCTAATACTCCAGATTTAAGAATTCTCCTTTTCACAATTATTAAATTGGTAGAAAAAGAGAAATCATTTCACCTAAGGGGAGAGAGAGAGAGAGTCATACTTACTTCATAGGATTGTTTTCTGGCAGATAGTATATCAAGTCTCTCATGGTCATTTTAGAACGATCTGGTGGAGAACGTCCTTCAATTATTGGAGGCCTGTGTTTCAACTGTTTCCATAAAAAATAATAAAAAAACCCAAACTTAAATTCACCCTGAAGGTACTTTATATTTCACAAATGAATATTTTTCTTTGTTTACAAAGTACCCCATTGGTTCCCCCCACCCTGTCCCCAACAACTGAAATAAGTTTATCTTAAAAGTGTCCCTTTGTCAGAAAGGACACGACAGACCCTTAAGTGATGTACCCCCTCAGAGAAATTCAATACTTGGCACAAGTAAAAGTGAGAAGTTATTCAAAATTACAGAACTCTGTCAACGATGAAGTTGAAAAAATGAGAGAAACTCCAAATCCCAAGCTTCTTACAGCACACTTCCCCATTGTATTACCAACTGTGAAACTTTTAAAATTGGAACGTTGACTCTAATATAATAGCAGGTTTCACGTCAAAAAGGCTTGTGGGTCTAATCAAATGAAAAGATATACAATTTCTCACAAAATCTGTATTATGAGGGAACACAGTGCTACTACTGCTCATAAACAGGCTAAACCCATACAGAGTGATGAGATATCACGGACTATTAGCAGTAAGCAGCTGAAGATCATCAGAAAACACTACTGCAAAGAGATAATGTATGTTAGGTGAATCACATGTCTTTGCCCTTCACACATCAGCACTGCCTAACACAGAGGCCTACCATCCGCTCTTTCTTCAGCTCTTCTTTAAGCATTTCTCTTAACTTCCGAGCTTTGAGGATCCTTTCACGGTCAGAACACATCCGTTTCTCTTTTATGGGAACAGGTTTCGTAGGTAGCTTTTCCTCTTGTGCTCCTGATCTTTCCTGTGTTGGCCTCTCCTTGAGTGGGGAGGGTACATTCTTTTGCAAGGTATCATCATTTTTTTGAGCAGCTACACCTACAGTTTGCTCTTTGTTCACTGATTTTTTTAGTGGGGAAAACTGTGGCACTTGTGGCACAGGTGTTTTCTTTTCGGGCAGCATAGGAGACTTTAAGGAGCTTTCAACATTACTCTTCTCTGATGGAGAGGAATCCTTCTGAAATGAAGCAGTGCCATCAGGAGCCTGTGATGCTCGCCTCTGCGGTTTTGATGAACGCTGAGCAGATGAAGGTCCAGCTCTGGGTTTGACAAGATTGGGCATGGTGGAGATCCGTTTTCTTCTCTGCGTAGGCATCTCTGCAGGTTTACTAGCTTCTCCAGCATCATTTGAGCTATCAGCCTTGTCATCGCTGGAAAATTTAAGAGAGTATTCTGAAATACTTTACAGTGACAGATTTGTAACTCTTACTTTCCAGATATGTTTATGTGCCAATCAATATAAACATAGTGCTACAGAAAAATACAGTTATATACAAGAAGCCACACTAGAGCCAACCTGTAGCTGGTACTTTCTCATAAACTAATCTGCTATAAGAACTGGTATATTATTTTCTAATATTAATTACTATTAATTAATGTTACTGTTACAAGCTAGTTGACCAATAATGCTAAACTCACATGTTCCTTCCCCACCCCCCTCTTTTTTGGAAGGCTCTCTACTTTCACCTGAGAATACCAAACATCATAATACAATAAAGCTTTATAAAAAAAACCCCACATAACATAGGTGACATATTACAAACATTTTAATAAAGCTATATGCAACAAGTAGTTTGATGATTTTTCTTACAATCAATCTGAACATTCCTCTTACACATTTGCAAGTAGATGATATGTAAACTGTGAATTCCAAAAAAAACTCAGCAGCACAAGTAGCCTTTTAGAGGATTTAAGTATTTTTTCCATCCCTTAGGCAGAAATAATTTTCAAATTGGTTGGCAAGCAAAAATGCCAACCGTTATTATCATCCTAAATGTGCAGATTCCTCCAGTGTTTGTCTCCGTGGCTGTTGCTCACAGTAAGACTGCAGCAGAATTACAACTGAGTCATAAAGAGTTTTTTTTAATTTTACATTGGAACTATGCCTTGTTTCTGTACATAAGGACAACCACACCCATGGTTCATTTAGCCATCTTCAAAAACAGTCAGAAGCAAATGCCTTTGTAGGAATATAAGAAAAGCATAAATATACAGTGAAACGTTTCCAAATCCTCTCCAGCTACTATCTGACTCAGGCAAATGCTGCACATGATGTTTTTGTATTTAACAGCCCCAGCAGACTTTTCTGAACCAATTTGTCCCACACTGTGAGTTCATATACGTTTTTAGTATACATAACATCCCTCAGCAAGGAGTTCAGCAGCCTTACTACATGGTGCCTGTCTGCGTGTTTTGAATGAGATCCTTGAAAGTTCCATTCAACATCCTCTGGTTTTTGCACAGCAAGAGACAGTGGAAAGTAATTCTTCCTTCATCTTCTCCATACCAGCTATGTTTTGTGGAGTTTTTAATCAGAATGCCACACCAGATTTCTGAACAGTTAAATGTAATTTAGCAGAAACTGTATTTAAAAAAAAAATATCTTATGCTCAGAGAATTTTTCACGTCCCTGATAATCAACAAAACCATTCAGCATTTAGAAAACAAAATAAAGGAAAGTAACTGACGCTAGAGATACAGGTTTGAGCAGCTATGAAGGAATGCCCTTAGGTTGGAAGGATAAATACGCAAGACATTTTCACATTTGCCTTTACTTTTCTTGCAGACCACACAACAAACACATTGTGCTGCATGTCACCAATTACTGCACTCAGGAAATTAAATTGTGTGACTTCCCCCAAATCCACTCTTCCTGAATCTTCAGAGACACCCAGGCAGCCAATCTTCAAGATGCATCATCTAGAGAGACAGCTCTCCAAGAAGCTAATACTGCGTACACTGCAATAAATCCCTAGGCCTGCTCTCTCCTATTTGGTTGCCGTACACCTTCAAAAGCAACCAAAAACTTTAAGAACCAGCTATTCAGTAGAATTTAGGGTGACCAAACAGGGGCAAGAAGAGAGCAGCTGTCACCTGTGCCTCTTCTACTTGCTCCCACGACTAAAAGTTCCCCTGAGAGTATCCCAGCAGTTTTAGGTTGCATACTACCTTCTCCCTCCAGCTGAGCTGTGGAACCCACCACAGCACTCCAGCAGTCCACGTGTCTCTTCTAATAAGTGCATCATTTTCCAAACCTCTGCTTCTCCAAAGAAGCTCTTTCCTAGCCACTTCCCACACATTTCACTGTGCTGGCAAACTGTGAGGTCTGTACGCTACATTCAACATGAACAACTTCCATCACAAACAGTCTTAAACTTCTTACAACTGCTCTACTTTTTCTTTAAAACAGCAGGATGTGGTTTTGTGGATTTGTTCACTTGGATATTTTCCGCATTTATTGAGGAAAATATTTTATGAGCCTGTTACTTATATGGCAAAGGTCTATTTTTCAAGCCACATGAATAGATTCCTTAGAAAATTCTCCCTTTTGGAACAGCATTGGTGTCTAGTTTTGAAACTTACAATTAGATTACACTGAAGCACCCATTAAATTACAAACACAAAAATCTTTAATAAATCTGCTGAATCAGCAACAGTACCACATAATTTTAAAATAGCAACTATATCTTCATTTAAGAAAAAAGTTCTGGATAACAAAAGATCCAGTAACCTGATCTCCGTAACACATAAATTTTATAAATAAAATTTGAAAGAAAAATATCCTTACACCACATTGCAAAACAAGTTTTAAGTAAAAAAAGATGGAAGATACAAGTTGAATAAAAGGCAGCATGGGTTTACCAAAGACATGTCATGCCAACTAGTCCGATACCTGAATTTCTAGCCACAGGAAACAGAAGACTGTAAGACAACCATGTATTATGCCACAAAAGACAAGTTTCAACTAAAAGAATACGGGTATTCATGCAAGATGCAAAACCAACTAGTTAAAAGAAGGGAGAAAGTTGTTCTGAAGAGCAATTATCAGACTGGGGAAATGTCCTGAAGAACTGGTCTCTACTGCTTTTGGCGGCAATAGAGTTAATTTTCTTCACAGTAGCTCATATGTTTCAGATTTGGGACCAAAACAGCGTAGACAGCACACCCATGTTTCAGTTATTGCTGAGTAGTGCTTACACAGCATCAAGGCCTTTTCTTACACCACCCTGTCAGTGAGTAGCCTGGGGGTGCACAAGAAGCTGGGAGGGGACACAGCTGGGACAGCCGACCCCAACTGACCAAAGGGATATCCCATACCACCTGGTGTCGTGCCTAGCAGTAAAAGCTGGGGGAAGAAGGAAGAAAGGAGGACATTTGGAGTGATGGCGTTTGTCTCCCCAAGTAACCGTTACGTGTGATGGAGCCCTGCTTTCCTGGAGATGGCTGAACACCTGCCTGCCGATGGGAAGGGGTGAAGGCATTCCTTGTTTTGCTTTGCTTGCACGCGTGGCTTTTGCTTTACCTATTAAGCTGTCTTTATCTCAACCCACGAGTTTTCTCACTTTTACTCTTCTGATTCTCTCCACCCCCCCATCCCACTGTGGGGGGGACAGGGATGGGACAGGGACGAGCAAGCAGCTGCGTGGGGCTCAGCAGCCAGCCGGGGTTAACCCACAACAGGGAGATCCTGAAGGACTGGTCCTAGGACCAGCCTTATCATGCATTTCCATTGCAATGAAAAGCACTTAGAAAATTAAACAATCAAAAAAGAAAAAGCCAGAAAGTTCTTCCTCACTAATGCACGAAGAAATGACTACAAAACAGGAAGCGCTGTAAGAATGCAAAATCAAAGTCATTCAGTTATGCAGAGCAAAGAATTTTTGCTGTACACAGCAAACTGGAGCTCCCTGCTGCTGCAGTGCCAGAAAAACTGAGTATCGGACCACACTAGGCCCCTCCTTTGCAGTCTTAACTTATATACTATTTCAAGCACCTGCAGTGCAACCGCAGTAAACAAATGCCGGTTTTGCTTAGGTTGCAAATGCGTCAAACGCCCACAAGTCGTTGTCCCATTGCCACATACACCACTTTCACTAGGCACCGACCGGAGGGCAGTGCAGCAGCTCTGCTTCAGGAGGTCTTCAAGATGAGACAACTCCAAACCAAAGCAGGGACACCCAGGAGGTGACAGGCTGTGACACGCGTGAGTGGAGAGCCCGCCACCACTACATCCCCAGGGGCTACTGAAGGGCGGCGGGCGCCCGTCCCACTCCCGGGGATCCGCGGCCAGGCGGTGGCAGAGGCCCACGCAAGACCCCGCCGGGGGAGTCCCGCGGCACGGCCCACCCCCCTCCCCACACCCTGGGTTGCCCGCGGGGCCTCGGTAGGACTCACCTCTCGGCCTGCCGCGCGGCCGGGGGGGGCTCG